GCCTCAATAGTCTGATGGGCGTCTGTGTTCAGGAATCTCTTCATCTCATCACCCTAGTGCACAAACTCCCTACAAAGTTCCCAGATAAGTTTTTTCTAGAATCTAAGAAAGAAAAGGAAATCACAACCTGGCAAAATGCAAATGTGAGCCAGCGATTAGCCAAAAGACAATCCATCACACATGGGAGATCATTTCCATGATTGTAAGAACAGTCACTACTCTCCAGTTCTACTCTTTATAATATTCTATGGATGTTTAATGCCATCTCATGGGATGGCCTGAAGCCCTAAGTCCACTTCCCTTACATGCTGCATGCCAGGGATGCAAGAGATTGGGGGACAAAGGTTCTAGGACTCAACCAAGGCCCCACATACTCAAGTCCCAAAGTTGACACCAATGGCATTGTTCTAAGGCCACTTCCATAACACACCTGAAAAACGACCAGTTTCACACCAGAAAGCAGCTTCAGAGCAGGTCCCTGGACATTAATTTGGGAACCGTACCTTTAGGTCGTGGCCTGGCAGTCTCAGGACGGCTGCGACGCAGGGTGGCGGGCACAATCTCAGGGGGCAAGTGGAGGTAATCACGAAGATACTGGATACCCTCGTTGGTAAGGTACCAGTAGAAGTGTCTCCAGGCAAACTGTTCCTTCACATAGCCTCGTGACTTGAGAGACTGGAAGACAGAAAAGTACTGTTAACGCATAACTAGAAAAACACATGTCAAGAAACCAGAGACTTGGATCTAGAAACTCGGTGCAAAGAAAAGCAGCATATACAAGTTTTCATAGCGCATCTCCAAATGTCTGCCCATCTACCTCAAGATCCTTCAAGTCAGCAAGCAACTCAGGCTGTTCTGACCTCTACTTGGATTTTACCTTGAACATCTGTGGACCAATGCCCCTATCTCCGCCCTAGCACAGCAGCCCCCAGCTACCTGCATGGCCTTCATGACATGAAGGTTGGGCACGTTCTTGTCTGCCAGTTCGGGGTGCTTTGGCATGTGGACATCCTTCTTGGCCACCATCACCCCCTCCTTAAAAAGGAGTTCATAAATGGCAATCCGGTTCTTCTTGGGCATCAACATCTGTAAAAACAAAGCAATCGTTAACAGCATTTCTGAGCAATGCGGCCTGGGGTCCAGTAATTAAGTTCATGACCCCAAAACGACCATACAAAACCCTCACTCACTGGGTTAAAATCTCAAACACAAACACACCCTAAAGAACATGCAGGAAGAAGGAATACACACTCAGCAAAACTGAAACCCACCAGAGATCAGTTCCTTCCCCCACTGCCAAAAACAATTCAAGTGAAAGAATAGCCAAGACATGATTTCGGGGGAAAAAAAAAATCGGAATGAGGGTGCATATTCGCTTCAGACTTTCACAAGCTCTCATTACCACAAAAGAATAATGGGGAGACGGAACGCAGACAATGTATTTGAAGAATACCTGAAGACTATCAGCGATAGGACCTAGTGAAGAATCACGCGCCTGTACTTTAAGGGCTATGCAGCGAAGGCTCTGTGGAGAAAGGCCTTCGCTTTCTGACACGTCCGCTGACCCCAGACAGAAGGGCTAAGGTTTTCGAACCCTCGTACTCTACCACCCCTCCCACAAGCTAGAGCTTCAGGGCCAGGAGAGGAAGAGGCCTGGGGTAAAAGGTCCTGTCCCGGAAAAAGTCTGTACGCAGGACGCTGCCTCCCTAGCCTCGCCAAGCTGGTCCCTGGCCTGCATCCTCCTCTCCTCTTCCTCCCTCCTCCGATGGCCTGCGCCATTGGGACGCCGATCTTCGCCTACTAGCCCCCCCTATCCTGCAAAAGTGCGCCCCCGGTCCCTCCCGCTGCTCAGAAATGAGTGTGCAGAAATGAAGAGAGATGCCTCCCGCCCCGAACTGTGGAAGGCGCGGTGACCACGACGGCTAGATACCCCGGATGGGGAACCGATGGAAAAGGGGCTACGAACGAACTCACTGTTGCGACTGGAGCGTCCCAGGCCGAGGCTGAAAAGAAGGAGCATGCGCGGCACAGCGTCTCTTCCGGACTGGCGCGGCCCCGCCCCCCGCCAGGACCCGCGCGCTGGCTGGGGTGGCCTCGGTAGTGCCTGAAGGACGGAGTAACTCCAGGTGGCGGCAGACCCTGACCGTCTTATGGACAAGCATGCACATCCGTTGTAACCCCGCCGCGAGCTTCTGAGCCTGCGTGCTTCATCGATAATGGTCGCTTTTATGTTTGTGCAGTCCCGTTAGGAACACGCTAATTCTTTTCCCACCAGTAATATGCAAATAATATATGCTTTTTTAGGGGCAAAACAGAGAACACAGATAAAATAACCACTACAACAATAATAAACCAAAATCTCGCTGCCGTCGAGTCGATTCCGACTCACAGCGACCCTATAGGACAGAATAGAACCGCCCCACAGGGTTTGCAAAGAGCGGCTAGAGGATTGGAACTGCTGACCTTTTGGTTAGCAGCCTAGTTCGCCATATCCTTTAACCACCGCGCCACGGGGCTGCAGAGACAATAATAGCAATTTAAAAAAAGAAACCCACCAACCAAAGATAATCACTGTTAGTATTTCGGTATATAGTCTTCCAAACTCATGTACCCACACAAATATATTTTTAACAAGAACGGGAGATAATAGAAGATACACACACACATTGTTTTTAACCTATTTTTTTCTCATGCCAGTATGATCTCTTTTTGAGTTAATAACTAAAATTTTAATGACTGTGTGGTAGTCCACTGATGAATACTTTAATCTTTTATGATTGGATTTATATTTTTTAAATCTTCCACTATTACAAGCAACGATGCCGTGCACATATTTGCACTATTGTTCACTATTTTCCTTAGGATTAATTCCTGGAACGGTAATTATTCAATAATGAAGCACATTTTTTTTTGGTTTTGACACATAAGCCACGTTGACCTCTGGTAAGTCTTATCAGCTTACATTCCCAAAAGCAGTTAATAACAAGACCCACTTCCCCAATAACCTTACTCATTTTTGTCAGTCTGAAAGATGAGGAATATTAACCTCATTGCTCTTTTAATTTGCATTCTTTGATTATTAATGGGGTTAAACTTTTTTCTTTTTAGGCATTTATGTTCTTCTTTTATAAATTGTCTGTTTATATCCATTATCTGTTTTCCTATTGAGATTATTTTCCTTATTGACTTGAAATCATTCTTTACATATTAAAATTTTTAACCCTTTGTCATCTGTTTTTCAAATATTTCCCCGGTTTTTCATTTGTCTTGATTTTAATGGTATTTTGAAGTAGAAGTTTTACATTTCTTTATATTCAGATCTTTATAATTCAGACTAATACAATGCTTAAAAAGTCCTTCCACATCTTAAGATTATATAAATATTCACTCGTGGTTTCAAGTGCTTTTGTGGTTGTTTCATTGTTTAAAAATAAGTATCCTTAGCATGCTTAAAGTAATAAAAAAAGAACCTTAAACATATAAACAAAGGACAAGATAGTATAAGAACTGGTCAAGCAAATCTGAAAAAGAATAAAACTCCTAGAAATAAAAACTAAAATGATTGAAATTTAAAATTTAATAAATAGATTAAACAATAGATTTAATACACCAAAAGAGAAAAATCAGTGCAATGGAAAACAGAAGTAAAAAAATATTCACAGTGCAGTCCGGAGATGCAAGGAGGTGGAATATTTGAAAGAGAAAATAAGAGATATGGAGGTTAGAGTGAGAAAGTCTAATATACATATATTAGGAAAAGTGAGATAGAGTGAGAAAGTCTAATACATATATATATATACACACATATATACTAGGAAATAATAGAGAAACTGGGAAAGAGACACTGTCAGAATATTTTCCAGAATTGTTGAAAGACAACACACTTAAAATTCAGCTTGCTCGACAAATCCCAAGCTGGATAAATAAAAATAAATCTGTGCCTAAACAACAACAACCAATAAATGATAAGAAAGTTGCAGGATATCAAAGACGAAGAGAAAATCTTTTTTTTATATATATATATTTTATTGTACTTCAGGTGAAGGCTTACAGAACAAATAGTTTCTCATGAAACAGTAGTACACGTGTTGTTTTATGACACTGGTTAACAACCCCACAACATATTAACCCTCTAACTTCTCTACCATTTTTTTTTGGTGAAAATACACATAGCCAAAGATACACCGTTTCAAAAATTTCTACATACACAGTTCAGTGACATTGACTACGCTCTTCCAATTGTGCTGTTATTCTCACTTAAGATGAAGGCTTACAGAACAAAATAGTTTCTCATTTAACAGTTACTACAAATGTTGCCCTATGACAATGGTTAATCTCACAACACATCAGCAATATTCTTACTCAACCTTGGGTTCCCTATCACCAGCTTCCTTGTCCCCTTCTGCCTTCTGGCCCTTGTCACTGGACTCCTGTACCTCGTTAGTCTCATTTGGTTTTACGGGGCTGAAAGAGAAAATCTTAAAAGTAGCGAACAGGAAAAAAACAGATGTGACTGCAGGTTTAGGAAATAATATTGAAATCATTATTCCCGGTACTTGAGCATAGAGAATGTGACCCAGCTGGAGCTGGGCTCACAAGGACTCACAAGGACACATCAACTGGGCCCTGAGGTATAAAGACAATAGCTAAAATAATCTCAGAAAATATGTTTTAGGGAACATTTCACATAAGCCAATCAAACAGAACACAAAAGACTTTCCACTCTTATTTTTTTCTATTAGCATTTAGTGAATAGAAATTTGTTGGACCAATGAAGACCCTCCTGACTGTCTTTACTGAAACCTGTACCAATGATTATTAAGAAAGACAATTCAAAGTGTAGGATCACAATTTCTAGCCAATCTGTGAAAAGGTGATGCTTTCTATGGTTTTGCCCATTTTGTAATGTTAATATATACTGATGACTCTGTAACGTTCTTCAGACTCAGACAGGGCTGTGGCAGCATGCTTGTCCATTTTCACACTTTTGTCTATTCTGTAATATTTCCTTGGACTTGGGCAGACATGGCTGTGGCAGCATGCTTGTCCGTTTTCCCACTCTTGTCTATTCTGTAATATTCCTTGAACTCGGGCAGACGTGGCTCTGGCAGCATGGTTGTCTGTTTCCTACTTTTGCCTCTTTGAATATATGCTGAATAAAATTTTCTTTTTGCTTTCCTAAACTTTGTAATGTTTTTACCGTACAACACTGCTCACTTAGCAGCAACACTGGAACACAGTCTAGAAATATAGTCTCCCAAGTCTCTTTCCTCACAGCGGCTACACTGATGCTGCTATAACATAATCAGTTGATGTCATTCTCCTGCTTAAAACCAATAGCTTCCCAGCTCACTTAGAAAAAAAAATTCAAAGTTTTTATGTGACTTCATTTTTTATGTTTAAATCTTTTATCATCCTGGAATATTTTCTGATGTAAAAAAAAATTTTTTCCTCCAAAGGATTAGCCAGAGTCTTAACACCATTTCTTGAATAAGCTATGCTTTTCTATTTATCTGAAATAACACTAAATTGTTTTTGAGAGACGAATTCAATTTTAGATTTTGTTGCATTTGAGGGGCCCATAGGACAAACTGGTGAAGATGTCCAGTATAAATTCTAGATAAAGACCTCAGAACTTGTTCTATTGAAGATTGCTGGGTTAAAGTTATAGGTGAGAGCATCATCTAAGACCTTCTGAGGCTCTGACATCACTTAAAGAGAGTGTGGAGTGAGGAGAGGATGAGGAAGGATCCAATAGCACTTCCCAGCTCACCTTTGAATGGTGTTGTTCTTATGGGTGTATCTATCCCTGGATGGCACTTTCCTGAGGACAAGAACCATGCCTTTTTCCTCTCTCAGTGCCCTCTTCAGCATTTAGCAAAATGTCTCACACATGTTAGGTATACTTAATAAATGTTTCAGGAATAAATAACAACCTCATGGAGAGCAGAGGAGACTGGATGTTATTGAGTAAATAATAATACCCTCTACCATTACAAAAGGGTTCTCAGGTGACAATGCATCATTGAATTCACTGAATTCCATCAAGCAGTTAGCACTGAGCAGCTTAACACTGAGCCAGTGGGTGGGGATAGAATGCAGGTAGGAACACACCCAGGTCCTGCATCAAGCAACAAATACCTCTATTATTGCAAATGGTGCTGAGGGCTATGAAGAAAGTGATCAGGGTATGGTAACAGAATAATGGAGAGTGAGGAGGTGACATGTCGGGTGAAACCCACTGAAAAGGAGTCAAGCTTGGGATAAAAGTTGGGAAAGGTGCTCCAGGCTGGGGGAACAACTGCTATGAAAGGCCCTGAAGCAAGAGAGAGCTTGAACCCAAAGGCAGCCAGTATGGCCAGGACATAGTGGACAAGGTGGGGGAGGGGCAGTGAGACTAGAGAGGTGCATTGGCCTCAGTAAGGAGTTTGAATTTTATACAAAGTGGAATGAAAAGCCATGGGAGAGTTTTAAGTGGTAGTGACTGGATCAGATGTATGCTTTAAAGAGATCACCTTGTGTAATCCTCAACATAATGAAAACAAAAATCCTCACAACTGGACCAATAAGCAACATCATGATAAGCGGAGAAAACATCGAAGTTGTCAAGAATTTCATTTTACTTGGATCAAAAACCAACACCCGTGGAAGCAGCAGTCAAGAAATCAAATGACATATTGCATTGGGCAAATCTGCTGCAAAAGACCTTTCGAAAGTATTAAAAAGCAAAGATGTCACTTTGATAACTAAGGTCCACCTCACCCAAGTCGTGGTATTTTCAATCGCCTCATATGCATGTGAAAGCTGGATGATGAATAAGGAGGACTGAAGAAGAATTGACACATTTGAATGATGGTGTTGGTGAGGAGTACTGAATATACTATGGACTGCAAGAAGAACAAACAAATCTGTCTTGGAAGAAGTACAGCCAGAATGCTCCTTAGAAGCAAAGATGGCTAGACTTCGTCTCAGTTACTATTTTGGGCATGTTATCTGGAGGAATCAGTCCCTGGAAAAGGACATCATGCTTGGTAAAGTAGA